GCGGGGGGGGGGGGGGGGGGGGGGGGGTTCTCTCCCATCAAATTGGACAACTTCAGAGCTATGCTGAAGCAGTAGCCCGTGCGGACCTGGCGGGCAGGAGGTGCGAGCGGCGCCGCCTCCTGTGCCATTTTGATGCGTGCGGCGACCAGAGCACGTGAGCAGGCATGGCAGAGGTCGATATCCTCGCAGACGGTGCATTTGTACCTGCTCAGGGAAGTTCAGGCCGCAGTGAAGAGCGGCAGCGGGGTGGCGGCACCACCGTGCACCGCGCCTCTCGCGGCCATACCTTCTTCCCACAATGGGCTCGGTCTCGCACCCATCGCACGTGATGTCCAGGTGCTCTATTCGCCACAGAGAGCTCTCTTGCCTGAGTGCCTCTCGGACAGCTTCATACCTATCGGCCATTCTGATGCAATAGGCGCAGCATACATGTGCCACAGAAGGAAGAAGGAAGAGAAATGAGCTGCGGTGCGTGAACGCTCATGTTGCCATTGTGAACGCAGCAGGCTAAACGCGGCGTTTCCTTTGGAGACCTGCTGCATATGCATGGCATTGCGCTGGACCTGAACTGCAACAGGACTGGCAAGCTGCAGGTCCTCTGACTCTGCCATTGCATGCACCACACTCAGCCGCCAGCCCCTCCTGCTAAGCCACACCCAGCGCTGCATCTGCGCACCTAGCAGCAAACGGCATGGGCAAGAAGAAGAGGGACTATGTGCAACAGCACAAGCAGTCGCTGGGCGAGGTGCTAGAGAACCCCGAGACCTATGGTGTTCGGGTGAGTGCGCGCCGCCCCTTGCTTGGCGCTGCAGCATGCCATACGCCCGGGCCGACGACGGCGGCGCTGGCGGCAGCGCTCCCGTCCCTGCCTGGGCGGTGGCGGCAGGGCTCCTGTCCCTGCCGGGCTTGCTGCCGGTGTGTGCACACGCCCCTTCCGCCCTGTTCCTTGCCCGGCCGCAGACGCAGCCGCGGCCCAGCAAGCGGCGGAAGTCGGATGAGGAGCAGGAGGAGGAGGCGGGCGAGGAGTTTGTGCCGGCAGCCATGACCCGCCGCATACTGCGCGAGGCGCGCACGCAGCAGGAGGAGGTAGACGCAGACGAGTCCCCCGCAGGTGCGTGGCCATGTTGCCACGCTGCTGCCTCCGTTGCCGAGCACCGTGGCTTCAGGGGCTGTCTGGTACATCCGGCATGCTCCAGGCTGCAGTATTGGCGCCATCGCATCCCGGCCAGCCATTGAGCTTGCTCCTTCCTGACCGCCCCGTCTCGCACTCCCTGCAGCGGTGGCGCTGCAGCTAGGAGCCAGCCGGGGGCTGGTGGCAGCAGCAGCCAAGGGTCTGCAGGACAGCGACAGCGAGGACGACTTTTCAGGTGGGCAGAACAGCTAGCTATCTCTTGCGGCCTGCGCTGTGATCATGTTGCCAGGGCTGCCACCCGTGCTCTGCTCCGCCCTTTACTCGCTTCCCCTGCTGCCCAACCAAACCCATGCAGATGGCGGCGGCAGCGTGTACGAGTACGACGAGGAGATTGAGGTGTCTCCAGAGGACGAGGCTGCGCTGGCGGCCTTCATGGCCCCCGATGCCGACAGCTACCGCCAGCGCACGCTGGCAGACCTGGTGCTGGAGCGCATCCGGGAGAAGCAGGCGGAGCAGGGGGTCAGCGAGATCCCCAGGTGCGTGCGACTGTCAAACTGTGTGTTTGGAGGGGTCGGGGGGAGGGAGCAGGGGAGCGTGTGCATTGCTGGGAGCGGCGGCGGTGTGAGCATGGGAGCACACAGGGCCAGGAACGCAGTCCTAGTGTACGGTAGAGGCAGCTCCCCTTGCGGGGGCCATTGCCTCCCAGCCGAAGTGGCGGACTTGCAACAGCGAGCCGCGGGGCGTGCGCACTGGGCGGTGCCAGCTGTCACGCTGCCCGCCGCCGCGCACGCCCCGCACATCCACCCCCTCAAGTTCCAGAGTTGGATTGGATGTCCGGCAGGAATTTTGCCTCTCTGCAGCTTCCTGCCTCACCTGCTACCCTCCCAGCTCACTGATTTCTGTTTGTCTGCCTGCGTGCCTGCCTGCGCACGGCATGGTGTGTGCAGGGAGGGCCAGGAGTTTGTGCCTGACGAGCTGGACCCAAAGGTGGTGGAGGTGTACCAAGGGGTGGGCAAGGTGCTCAGCAGATACACCGCCGGCAAGGTGAGCCCGGCCAGGCAGCTGGGGCTTGCCTCGCTCCCTGCCCTGCCTGGTTTGCCTGCCTGTGCTGGCCTGCCGCCGCACGCGCCCCTGGCTCCATGCACGGCGCTTGGCTGATGACGAGCAGCTTCCTAATTCGTTGTTGAGAACCGAACCACAACCGTGTGGATTTCACGCTCATTGTCACTACCACTGAAGCCAGCCCCCTGCCCACGCTGCCTGCACCCCGCCGCTGCCTGCACCACACCCACCGCCTGCTTGCACTCGGCACGACGCTGCCACATGTGTTGGTTGACTCTCTTGTGGTCTGCCGCCTGCAGGTGCCCAAGGCCTTCAAGGTCATCCCCAACCTGCAGAACTGGGAGGAGATCCTGTACCTCACAGACCCAGACAACTGGACCCCGCACGCCGTGTACCAGGTGCGGCAGGGCAGGGGGGGCCTTGGGAGTTGTGGGAGCGCCAGGGCTGTGGAGACGGCACACGTGCTGGGAGGAGCTGTTTGAGGGCTGTTGTGTTGGCAAACAGCAGATAAACCCATGCACAGGTTGATGGCTGCTGCCATCTGTTGCTGCGCCATTGCCCCCAGCTGCCTGCCAAAGGAATGCTGCTGCCATGCCCGCCTGCCGCCGCCGCAGGCCACCCGCATGTTTGTGTCCAACCTGAACCAGAAGATGAGCCAGCGGTTTCTGGTGCTGGTGCTGCTGCCGCACGTGCGCGCAGACATCCGCAAGAACAGGCGTCTCCACTTTGCGCTCTTCATGGTGCGCCCGCCTGCTGGAATCCAGGGAAACCAAGTTGGCAGCTCGGGGCGTGGGATGGCGCTGTTGGCACGCCGAGGACTCTGCCCAGGACTCCACCGTGCCACCTTGCCTTGGCCCCCCACCCCTGCGCCTGCAGGCCCTGAAGAAGGCCACCTACAAGGCGGCCGCTTTCTACAAAGGCGTGCTGCTGCCGCTGTGCGCCAGCGGCACCTGCAACCTGCGGGAGGCGGTCATCCTCACCTCGGTCATTAAGCGCACCTCCATCCCCGTCCTGCACTCGGCCGCAGCCATGCTGCGCATCGCAGGCACGCTGCCGCTCTGCTGTACCCTCCCCCCTGAATCGCGCTTGCCGCTCAATGGCGGCCCATCGCTCCCCGCTCGCTGCGCTGCCTCCCTGCCAGCCCAGCCGCACCCCTGTTGATCCCCTTGCCCCCACCTGCCCCTGCTGCAGAGATGCCGTACAGCGGCACCAATTCCTTCTTCCTGCGTGTGCTGCTGGACAAGCGGTACGCCCTGCCGTACCGCGTGGTGGACGCCCTGGTGGACCACTTCCTGCGCTTCAAGACCGAGGAGCGCCAGCTGCCCGTGGTCTGGCAGCAGACGCTGCTCTGCTTCGTGCAGCGGTGAGCCCGCGGGAGCGGCAGGCGGGGGGGTATGTCTCAAGTTGCCATCCTGACTGGACCAGCCTCACCTCGCGCTGCCCCCACACCAGCCCAGCTGCCCGCCCTGATTGGTTGGCGACGTTTCCCTCCTGGCGGTACACCTGGCTGGGTTGCAGGTACAAGACGGAGATTCGGCGGGAGGACAAGCACGCGCTGCGCGACCTGGTCAAGCGCCAGCACCACTACGCCCTCACCCCCGCAATCCTGCGAGAGCTCGACTCCTCGCTGTCGCGCGGCGAGCAGGCGGCGGGCACCCCCGACGCGCTGCGCCCCGTCAGCAAGGTGGCAGCAGCAGCAGGCGGCGGCGGCGGCGGCGAGGACCCTCGAGACCTGGCCCCAATCATCCTCATGGAGGATGACTAGGCGCTTTCTTTTTATTTTTGTGCCTCCCTCCTGCATCTCTGCTGTAGGCTCGGGCGCCTGCCCCCTGCTCTTCTCTCCTCCCTGCTCTGCTCCTCCCCTGCTCCTCCCTCCTGTTCCCATGTCATCCGCTGCCACACTCCACCCAGACTGAGAGACGTGTTACAGCATGCAAGCAAAACAGCAGCATTTCAACTGACAGGGAGGCAGGAGCAGGTGGAGAGTGCGGCCAGTGGGCCAGCTGGGAGCATGAAGGCACGATTTGCAAACGAAGGAAGTCAGGGGCAACGAATCGGGTGGGCGGCCGCTAGGGTACAGCATAGCACGGACCGGCAGGCGCAGCCGGTCACCGCGAGCCGCTCACAAACTCGCGGCGCCGCCCGCTGCCGCCCGCTTCCTGGTCGTAGCTGCTGCCTCCGCCCGCGGCGCGCATGCTGCCGCCGCGCCCGGCGTCGTCCAGGGCGCCGCGCTTCTTGCCCTGCCGCACGTCCGACAGGAAAGCATCCAGCCCAAACGGATCCGCCTCCTCCGCCTCCTTCTCAAACTGTGGGGCACACAGGGGAGGGTGGTTGGCGGGGGTGGCTGGGGGCAGGGCGGGGTAGCGCTGGCTGAGACATCCAGCCTCATGCATGCTCCTGCTGGGAGCCCTCCAGCCACCAACAGCCGCTGCCCACAAGCCACACCGCCAGCACCGCCGCCAGCCGCGCCGCCGCACCTGGACCTCGCCGCCCTCCCCTCCCTTGCCGTAGTCGGCCCCGGTGAAGCCCTTGTCGGGCTTGAAGCGGGAGGTGTCCACCTCGGCGCCGCCGCCGCCGCCGCCCGCCCCCGCATACACCTCGTCGTCCTTGCGGCCCTGCAGGCAGGCACGGCAGGCAAAGCGCGGAGCGGCAAGCCAGGCATGGTCGCCCACGGCATGCTGGGCTGGCGGGCCGGCCCCCAGACGCAGGCATACAGGCAGCGCCGCACTCGATCGACCATCGCGACCAAGGGCAGAGCACTCTCAACCACAAAGCACAGCCGGCCGGCCTCCCCAGCCCTCCACGGCCACGTGCACACACCCGGCCCCGGGCCCACCTTGTGCTTGAACAGCTCCGCCCTGTCTGCAAACAGCGGCTTGTCGTAGATGTTGTAGCTCTCCTCGCCCCCCAGCCCCGCACCCACGCCCTGGTCCTGATTGAACAGCCGCTGGTCGTACATCGCCTCGCCGCCGGTGACCTGCAGGGGGGGAGGAAGGGGAAGGTGAGGGGCAGGGGGCAAGGGGCAGGTTGGGCGAGGCAGCGGCAGCCAGCCGGTCAGCAGGCGGTGCCTGCCGGGCCCGGCATCCTTGTGCGCGCTTGCTCCACTGGAGTCGACATAGCCCCTGCCAGCCGCCTGCCGTCCGGTGGAACACCACCACCCACACCCGGCTGCCCAGCCAGCCGCCCAGCGGGCCGCCCACCTTGGCCATGCCCAGCGCAATCTTCTCCGAGATGTCGCGGTCCCTGTCGCGCGTGAGCTTGCTCTTCTTGAAGCCGTGCGCGTCGCGCGCCTCCAGGCGCCGCTCCCGCTCCCGCTCCCGCCGCCGCTCCTCCCGGATCTCCTCCCGCTTGCGCCGCTCCTCCCGCTCCTCCCGAGACTCCCCCTCCCGCTCGCCGCCCCGATCCCGCTCCCCGCCGCGGTCGCGGCCGCCGCGGTCGCGGTCGCGCCGCTCCCGCCGCCCAGCCTCCTCATCCGACGACACATCCATGGCGGCCTCGGCGGGGACGCGCCCCTCGCCGCGGGCGGGAGCTGCAGCTGCCGCCGGCGCGCCGCCAGGCGCTTCCATCCGGTCTGCAGCGGCGGGTAGGAGGGGAAGGGAGGCGGGCTGTGATGCATGCCCGCAGCGCCCGCCAGACGGCCAAAGCATCTGGGCGTGCTGGAGGCGCCGCCAGCCAGCCTCCCAGCCATCACGAGCCGCTCGGTACGCGCCACATCCGCTCGCTGCCGGCCGGCCACCCTCGCACCGCGCCCCCGCACCTGCGGCCGCGGGCACGGCGCCCCCCATCCTGTCCATGCGCGCCCTCAGCGCCAGCTCCCGCAGCTCCCGCTCCTTGCGCTCCTTCTCCCTCGCCAGCAGCTCGCGCTGCATCTTGGAGCGCGCCTCCACCGCGCTGCGCGCCTTCTGCTCCGCAATGTACAGCGACTCTGTGAACTTGGCAAACTGGTCGTTGATGGCCACCTCCTGCAGGCCGCGACCGTCCGCGGCCAGGCGCTTGTCCAGCGGGATGGTGTAGCCCTCCAGGGGGTGGTGGGGGAGGTGGTGGGGGAGTGAGTGAGAGGGAGGGAGGAGAGAGGGAGGAGAGAGGGAGCATTGGGGAGGAGAGAGAGGCAGGATGGAGGCGCGGTGGGGCGAGGGGGAGCCAGTCAGGCACCCTGCAGGGGCGTGGGGCGAGGCCGACGCCAGCGGCTGGCGCGCGGCGCGTGGCAGCCGCCGCCGCGCGCCTGCAGCCCACCTTGCTGTTCTTCCAGTTGGAGATGCAGGGAGGGATCTTCCAGTCCTGCTGGTCCTTGACCGTCAGCGGGCGCGGAGGGGAGTGCATGACGGGCACGGGGGGCGAGCCGGGGCCGCGCGGCACCTGCGCGCAAAGGGGCATGGGGCGGGGGGGGCAGGGTGCGGTGCCGCTTCAGTGCCTGTTGGAAGGGCCCCTGCTTCCGCGCCGCGTCTCGCGCTGCGTCTCGTGGCCATGCCCACCCCCACACCCCACCCACCACCACCAACCACTCCCCAGCCCCGCCCCCTTCCCCACCTTGATGTGCCTGAACTTGGGCGGCTCCAGCGGGTCCACCGGCATGTCCTGCATCTTGATGATGCGGGAGGCGGCCCCAGAGGCGTGCTGTGGGCCGCCGTCCGCGGGGGTGTACTTGATGTACTGCGCCTGCCCCGGCAGCTGCGGCAGCGTCTTGGGGTTGATCGCCGCCTGCTTCTTGTCGACGCGCAGCGCCAGCGCCGCCGCCGTCTCCTGCGCCGTCTTCTCGATCTCCTCCTCGTCGGGCTTCAGCAGGTTCTGCAGGGGCAGGGGAGCACAAAGGGGGGAAGGCTAGAGGTGGGTGGCTGGGGTCGGGCAGCGGGCAACTTGAGGCGGCGGCATGTCGTGCAAGCCAGGCGGCACGCCACTCCCACGCCTGCGCCTCAACTCTGTCCACAGCTCGCAGGCACTGCCACCAGGCGGCATGTGTCCTGCTGCACCACCACAAGCCAGCGAGGCCCATTTTGTCGCTCCTCCCGCTGGCCACTCACCCCCGCGTTGAGCTGGTCCACCTTGGGCACCAGCGCCTTGTGCGTGGTCTGCAGCCACTTCTGCGAGTTCTTGCTCTGCTGCAGCACCGCGTCGTAGTTGATGTCGCCCTCGGCGTTGACGGTGAGGGCCAGCGTCTGGCCGCCACCGCCGCCGGGCGCGCCGCCGGCGCCCTTGTCGGGGCGCCCCATGTCCAGCGGGTACTGGGCGACGTGGATCTCCGGGAAGGCACCGCCTGCAGGGGAGGTGCACGCCAGGGCGCTCAGAGAGGAGCGGCAGAGAGCAGCAAGAGCACACGCTGCATCACTCGCAGGGCTGCGCAGCCCGCAGCAGAACGCACCGTCGCCAAAGTCCTCGATGCGCCTCGGCACGAAGCCAGCCCGCTTGCCGTAGGGCGGAGGCTCCCGAGTGATGCGAGCCCCCGCTGCGCCGCTAGAACTGGGCCCTTCCGGCGCCGGCCGGCTATACTCCTTGGCCGGCGCCGGAATGCTGCTGAGCAGCGTCGCCATGGCGGCTGCAGAGCGCTCTGGGGGCGCTGGCGTGCCCGGTGTCGCTCGATGGCAAGCCCAGAGCCCTGTGAGGGTGCTGCAAAGATAAAGGGGCGGCAACAAAGGAGGACAAGCAACGCAGCGGGCGGTAGAGCTGCGGCAAGAAATGCCAGGTGGACTTGTCTCGTGCAGCACCAGGGCGCCTGCAGTAGGGCGTTAGGGCGCCTGCACACTTGTTGGCCAGCATCTCTCTGCTTGTCAGCGAGCCGCGCAGCGCTGCTGGGAACCCAGTCTGATCGTCGGCGATCGCCTGACCTTGCAGTCTTGGCTGGCGACAGCCCCAGAGCTAGCGAGCTGTAGTAGTCATCCCAGGGCTGGGCAGCAATGAGCACAAACCCCTTCTCCAACAGCAGCCCGCCCCCCGTGTTTGGAGCAGAGGCCGCCTACTCTCCCCCGAACACGGGCGCCTGGGCGCGCAGCGACAGCCTGGAAGACGACGAGCCCTTCACGGCCGCCCACTTGGCGGCGGCCAACGAGGCCGCGGTGCCGTCGGTCAGCGCGGCAGCGGCGGCGCCGGCAGGTCGAGCCGCTATTGCTCAGCCGCCGCACACCGCGCTGACTTTCACAGGTCAGGAGCTGGGCGCGAACAGGGGCTCGCTTTGGGTGGTGTGGTGCAGGCTGCAGGGGGTTTCAGATGCCGCCGCGCAAGTTCCGCTGCCCCATTGACATTGAAAAAGTGCGCCCCAGCGTTCTTCAGCAGCCCACAGCCTACACTGCAATCTCCTTGCCGCTGACGCGCTGTCTGCCATTGCCACGCCGCAGAGTCCACTGCCACGCTGCCGTCCGCTCAGGCCCTCACCGGCAAGGTGGGGCAGCCGGCGTCGCCGGTGCCACGCATCGGCTCAGCCCCCGACACCCGCCTGCTCAACAGCAGCCCGGGGGCCGGCAGTGCGCCGCTGGATGGCGGCGGCGCCGGTGGCACCGCCGCGGGCGGCCCAGCCGGGCAGCCCACCGATGACCCCTCCAAGTTTGCTTTTTACAACATCAAGCGCTACCGGGGGCTGTTCAACGTGGACACCAGCGACGTGCTGGCCCGCCTCATGCACGCCGTGCTGCTCTTCTTCCGCGGCGACTTCCTGGAGTATGTGGAGGGCAACCCCGACCTGTGAGCTGTTTGTTTGATGGACAGATGTGGGCAGAAGATCAGCCAGGAAGGGGCCCGCAGCCACACCTGCCATGCCATTGCCTGGAGCTGATGGTGGTGTGCTGCATTGCTGCCTGCCCCATCTCCCTCGCAGGTACGGCCCCTTCTGGGTGGCCAGCACGCTCATCTTTGTGACCGCAGCCACGGGCAACCTGGCCAGCTACATCAACTACACGCAGCAGCACCCAGGTGCTCTGATGCGCCCCTGGGCACCCAGCCCATCCCAGCCTGTGTTCTGATGTGCCCTTGGGTGCCCTTCCCAGCCCCCCGTGCGGCTGCGTGTCGTCCCTTCCAACATCACCCTCACCCCCACACACACAACACCCCATGTCCCAGGCGAGTCCCATGGCGGCTGGTATTACGATGTGGACAAGGTGGGCGCCTCGTTCGGCATCTTCTACGGCTACCTGGGCATCGTGGGCCTCGCGCTCTGGCTGGTGCTGCGCTGGTTCAAGGCGGGCGTGTCGCTGGCCTCCGTGTGGTGCACATATGGTGGGTGGTGGTGGTGGTGGTGGCGGTAGTGGCAGTGGGGACGAGACGCAGCCGCTCGGGGGGCTGGGAAGGGCGCACAAGGGCACATCAGAACACAGGCGGGGGTGAGACGGCGTGCCTGGGTGATGGCTGCCCCGCCAGATGTCGACCTGCTGGTCTGCCGCCAACCCCTTGCTGCTCACCCCCATGCCGCTGGCGCAGGGTATGCGCTGGCCGCCTTCATCCCCATCTGCATCCTGTGCGTGATCCCCGTGGACCTGGCGCGGTGGATCGTGGTGGGGGTGGCCACCCTCACCTCGGGCACCTGCATCATGCTCAGCCTGCGCAGGCCCATCCACGAGTCGCTGGGCGCCAAGGCGCTGCCGCTCTACTGCACCATGATTGCGCTACACGCGGGGCTGGGCCTCGCGCTGCGCGTCTACTTCTTTTCCTTTGCCAAGGTGTGAGGCTGGGGCCTGCTCGCATCCCCCGTATTGCCGCTGCAGACACTGATGCCGCGGCCTGTTCACTGTAATTCGATTAATTGACTTTCACAGCCAAAGGCGCCGGGGCGTCAATCAAAAGGCAGCAGTGCAAAATGCAGGACGCTGAGGAGACGGAGCACAGATCAAGAGGGATGGTAGCAGCAGGCAGCAAAGGCTTAAAAAATGGCAGCAGGCAGGGGGCGTGGGTTGAAAAATGCGCACATCAGGGGCAAGTGTGGAGGCACGAGATGTTGTGAACTATACAAGCAGCGTGGTGAGGAGGCAGCTGAGGTGTCCAGATGGCTGCCAGGCCTGGGCGTTGATTTGCAGTGTTTAGAGGGCGTCAGGTGCTGGGCTCCAGCCACACGATCTACTGCTCCGCCTGCTGCTCCCGCGGCGGCAGGCCGCGGATCTTGCGGATGGCGGCCATGATGGCGCGGTGCATGGAGGGGGTGGCCGCCACGATGCCGCCATTCAGGTCGGGGAAGAAGCGGCCCTGGGAGAAGTCCAGCGGGTTGCCCAGCGCGTCGCTGATCACCGCGCCAGCCTCCTGCAGAATGGGGTGGTTGTGTGTGTGTGTATTGTGTGCTTGTGTTGTGTTGTGGTGGTGCTGGGTGGCAGCAGGTGAGGTTGCAGTGGGGGTAGGGCCAGTAGGGCCGCGAGTGCCAAGCACCGATGCTGTGCACACCCAACTGCCGGCCCCTCTTCTCTTGGGGGAGCTGCCCCACCAGCGGCCGCGCACCTCGATGATGGCCACCCCGGCGCAGTGGTCCCAGATCTTCTCGCGGTAGGATGCGTCTGGGAAGCGCATGAAGATGGAGGCGTCGCCGCGAGACAGCGCCCCGTACTTGGCCTGGCTGTCCAGCCGCAGCGACGGCAGCTCCACGCCAATCTCGTCTGCAGGGGAGCGGGCCCGGCAGGCGGGGGGTGCGGGGTGAGAATGTGGCTTCAGGCGAGGCAGGCAGGCAGTTGCTGCACATCTGTGCCCACATTTGACTGGCGCACCAGCATTTCCCATGCTCCACCACCCTCCCCCTGAATTGCAACCCCACCCTAAGCCTTCCCCCACACAGACACAAACCCACACACTACCACCACCGCCGCCACCAGCCGCACCCGCAATCTGCATGGCCAGGCCGTGGTTGCTGTGCCGCGCCTCAAACGACTCCATGTAGCGAGCCTCTCCAGGCGCCAGGATGTCGTTGCAGAAGATGCGCTGGCGGGGCATGCCGCCAAACACGGGGCCCGCATACGCGCCCTGAAGCCCGGTAGGAGGGTGGTGACGGGCAGCGGCGTGAGCAACCGCGACCCCTTGGCAGGTACCCTGCTTAGGTGCCTCCAAGCCACGCAGGCCAGGGCAGGGGCGACTAAAGGCCTGCCTCTCGCACCCTGGCTGCCTGCACGGCTGGCCCGCATCCTGGGCAGCAGCCCGGCGCACCTGGCCCTTGCTGGCGGCAAACATGGTGCCCACGGCCTCGTCGGAGAAGGAGCGGGCGGCCTGCCCCTCGTCGCAGTCGTCCGCCGTGATGGCGTACTGGGGCAGGTTGGGGCAGCCCAGCACGCCCAGCACCACCTGCAGGCAGGGCAAGGCAGGGCAGGGCACGGCAGGTTGTCAACTTCGATAGGGGAGGTCGCGTACACGGCTGCCAGGCAGAGACCTTGCAAGCCCAAGGCCCAAGCGCGGTTTACCACCAGGCACCCCAGACCCACCCACCTCGCCCTCCTGCAGCAGGCCCAGGCACACAGCGTACTGGCGCATGCCCACAAAGCCGCGGGTGCCATCGATGGGGTCCAGCACCCAGTGGCGCCCCTGGCCGCCGCCCTGGCTGCTGCCCGAGTCCACCAGGTCTGCCACCTCGCCGGGGGTCAGCGGCGCCACCTGCAGCGCAGAGCCAGTGAAGTGAATCTGAACCGCCTGTTCAAAACACCGAGCCCCAGAAGCCGCAAGCCGCACATGCTGCATCCCCTCCAGCCGCCGCTTGCCAACGCTCTTGCTGCCAGCCCAGCCTTCCTGTGCCCAGCCTTCCTGTGCCCAGCCTTCCTGCGCCCAGCCTTCCTGCGCCCACCTGCGGGTGCTCGACGGCCAGCGCCTCGTTGACCAGCGCAGTGATGCGGGCCAGCATCACGGCGCCCTCAGCGGTGCGCAGGTCAATGGCATCCTCCTCAGCCACCATGCTCAGCGGCTGGCCGGGGAAGGCGTGCTGCAGGCTCCAGGCCACCAGCGCCTGTACGGGCAGGGCAGGAGGGCAGGCGGGGGAGCGGGTCAATGGCATGTGCCAGGTTGCAGGGATTGCGGCCCAGACTGCACAGGCGCTGCCGCGCTGGCCATGCGCGTTCGCCAGTAGCGGCATGCCCTCTCGCCTCCTGCGTGCCACTGCACCTGTGCGCCATAGTCGGCCACCGTGACGGGGCTCTCATCCTCCTTCTCCACCTTCTCGCCCGTCTTCAGCTCCACTTGCACAGCCTGCATGGCAAGGGGGAAAGGGCAGCTCTATCCATGAGGCAGATTGACATGCGCAAGCCTGAGCCCTGTGCTTCATGCTGGTTGCCTGCCAGGCACAGAACAGCAGCACACCAGCCATTGGCTGGTACGTCACTACCACCAGGCGGAAGCTGCTGCCAATGCGGGCCGCCGCATCGTGGCTTGCCTGGCACAGGCGTGACGCCAGCCTGACAGCCTCCACCGCGGCGTGCAGCTCGACGGTGTGCTCGCTGGCAGACACCTCGGGGGCTAGTGGCGCAGCGACGGCGCGAACCGCGCGGCGTTGGCGGCGGCCGGATAGCGCCGCTGCTGCTGTCCGCCGCTGCTGCGGCTGCTGCTGCTTGGGCTGCTTCAGGACGCTCCCAGACCAGGGCAGGACCGGAAGCACGCTGCTGCCACGGCGCAGGCCGGCTTGCGCCGCCCCCCCGGCATGTGTGCCCCTGCTCGCTGCAAGGGTGCTGGACATGCTGGGGCTTTGGTGGCAGCCAGGAGATGCTACACGCACGTTTGTGGAGGTCTCCTGAACGCCATGCAGGCAGTGTTTCTGGCCCTCGTGGCAGCTTTGGCGATGGGCGGGCGATGAGGACTGCTGTCGCGTCCAAATTTCGCCAATCAGCTGGCGATGGCACATTGAGGATTGGCGAAATGCGGGGGAGCCACCCTTGCGCCTGGCACAGCGCAGCGGCCACATGCGGCGCCGCTGTTGCTTTGTCGGCACTTGCCTCCCTTTTGGGGGACTGGGGGCGAAGCCCCCAGCAAGCTGGCGCTTGTTTAACACTATGGAATGAAGTTCCTGAGGAAAATTGGCCATTTCTCCTCAAAATATTGGCGATGTCAGTCATGGGGGCTGGCGACGCGCTGGCGATGTCGCCCCGCCGCCTGCCCTCATTTAGCCAGCTCTGGCTGGCGATGGCCTTCGGCCAATCGCCAGCCAGAGCCGTTTTTTGGCCCGATTTCGCCAGCATTTGGCGATTTCGCCAGCTTTCAGAAACACTGCATGCAGGCCTCTGACTGCCAGCCTGTCATCAGGGCGTTTCCAAACCCTCCCGATCGGGTGCCATCGCAGGGCACACTGGGCACCGCTCACTGCAGCGAAAGGGGTGGCTAGCGATGCTCGCCTCGGCCCTCAGGGAGAGCGGCCTGGCGGCCGCTCGGGCCTTCTCGTCCAGCGCAGCCGCGCAGGCGGCTCCTGCAGTGGCTGTCGCCTCCAAGCGCTCCTTCCTCGCCCAGCTCTTTGGCAGCGGCTCGCGGCTTGATGTGCCGCTCACCGACGCCCTGCCCGGCGTGGAGATCCCAGAGGCGGTGGCCCCGTCCAAGGAGGCCCCCGCCACGCAGCTGACCAAGCTGAGCAATGGAGCCACCATTGCCACCGAAAACACGCCGGTGCGTGCTGCCTGGGCCGTCCCCCGCGCCAGCAGCAGCTGTGCCGGTGATTGGGAAGCCAGCAGAGCGCCGGCAGGGGCGCCAGGCTAAGGGTTGGGGCGCCGCGCCCTATGCCGCCCTCCCGCAGGGCGCCACCGCTACCCTGGGCATCTACGTCGACTGCGGCAGCGTGTACGAGACCCCCGCCAACACCGGTGCGGCGCCAAGAGGCAGGGGAGACAGCAGGCTGCCGGCAGCATGGGCAGCGGGCTCGACCGGCATCGGACAACTTGCAGGGGTGGCAGCGGCGCGGTGTTGTTGCCTGCGTGCCCACGCGCGCTACGGTGCTTGCCTGCCTGTGCGCAGGCGCGTCTCACCTGCTGGAGTACATGGCCTTCAAGACCACCAAGAACCGCACCCACCTGCGCCTGGTGCGCGAGGTGGAGTCCATTGGCGGCAACGTGCTGGCCTCGGGTGCGCCGCCGCTGCCGCCGGCTCGTGTGCAGTTGGGGGCTTTGCAGGGTCCAGGAGACAGAGCGGAGGGGCATGTCGCGCGGACTGCTGGGAGAGCCAGCGGCTGCTGCCACCTGCACAAGCAGTGGCTGCCACTGGCTGTTCAACGGCCCAGCAGGCTGTCCCAGCAGCCGGTGGAGCAGCAGCAACAGGGCGGCAACCGGCAATGATCTCCATCCCGCCCTCCTGGCGCCCCTCCTGTGCGCTGCCCTGCAGCCTCCCGCGAGCAGATGGCGTACAACATCGACACCAGCAAGGCCACCATCCCCGAGGCGCTGGAGGTGCTGACCGACGCGGTGCTCAACCCCAAGTTCCAGTCTTGGGAGGTGGCGGAGCAGGTGGGGCGCGGCTGTCGGGCCGCCCTGCAGCGCCCCAGCTCCTCCTGCGGCGCTGCGCCTTGCTCCTGTCGGCTGGCCACAAGCAGCGCCTGGCGCCTGCCACGTGCGGGCAGGGCCCCCAGCCTCGGCGGTAGCAGGCGTCGTGTGTGGGCCTCGCTGCCATGCCACCTCTCCTGTGCCTGCCTGCCTGCCTGCCTGCCTGCTGCCCGCAGGTGCGCAAGATGGAGGCGGACGTGAAGAACCTGAAGGACAACCCGCAGACCACGCTGCTGGAGGGCCTGCACAGCGTGGCCTACAGCGGCGGGCTGGGCCGCCCGCTCATCGTGCCAGAGGGCTGCCTGGGCAGCCTGAACGCAGGTAGGCGCAGGGCCAGCTGTGCGGCTGCGCAGCAGACGCGTGTGCTGCGGAGCTGGCAGCCCTGACTGTCCACCCCTGGGGCCTCCTGCTGCCAGCCCGCTGCTCGAAACGCCCACACCCAATGACACCCACCACCCACCACCTTCGGCCACCTCCTGCAGACGTGCTGGCCGACTTTTATGCCGCCAACTTCACCGCGCCGCGCATCGTGCTGGCGGGCGCGGGCGTGGACCACGGCGAGCTCACCCGCCTGGCCGAGCCGCTGCTGTCGGCGCTGCCCGGCGCCGGCGCGGGCTCCGAGCCGCGCAGCGACTACGTGGGCGGCGACTGGCGCCAGTTCAGCGCCTCGCCGCTGACCCACGCCATCCTGGCCTTCCAGTACCAGGGCGGCTGGCGCGACGTCAAGGGCTCTGTGGCCATGACGGTGCTGCAGTACCTGCTGGGAGGCGGCGGCTCCTTCTCCGCGGGTACGTGCTAAAGCTGGCCGGCGGGTGGGGCGTGGCTGCTGGCGGCGGCTGCAACGGAAGAGTGGGAGAGGCCCAGAGCGCTGCCAGCAAGGAGCGGGGGGCAGCAGCAGTCGCAAGCCGTGTATGTACGAGTTGCGGGGGTCTCATTGCGGGAGCCGCACCGACCTCATTCCCTGCCCCTTCCCCCGCCCCGCAGGCGGCCCCGGCAAGGGCATGCACTCCCGCCTGTACACCCGCGTGCTGAACCAGCACCCCTGGATGCACAACTGCACCGCCCTCAACTCCATCTACAACAACACGGGCCTGGTGGGCGTGTTTGCCTCCGCCGAGAGCGGGCAGGCGGGCGAGATGGTGGATGTGCTGTGCAAGGAGATGCTGGTGGGTGGAGGGCTGGGGGGGGGCTGTGCGGGCGCGGGGTGTGTGCAGGCAGGGCTGTGCAGGGCGGGCGCCACCTGCAGGTCGTGGGCACAGCTGGCCTGGCCTGGGTGCTGCGCTGCTAGCACAAGCCGTGGCAGCCGCATGCATGCAGCCCCAGGACCCCACCCTCCCGAACCGACCAACCAGCCAGCCAGCCACCCCACGCCCTGCTCTCCCCGCAGGCTGTGGCCAAGGATGTGAGCGAGGCGGAGCTGGAGCGCGCCAAGTCGGCGGCGGTGAGCAGCGTGCTGATGAACCTGGAGAGCCGCGCCGTGGTGGCTGAGGACATTGGCCGCCAGGTCCTCACCTACGGCCACAGGTGGGCCTGGCGGGGGTGGGGCGGGGGGCAACGGCTGCTGCAACGGCTGCTGCGTGTGGCTGGGCTGCCGCAGCTGCGGGCGCAGGACAGTCCCAGCGCAGCATTCCTGCCTGCACAGCACTGCCCATGGCTTGGGACGTGCCGGACCCTGGTGCATGTGCCTGCCTGGTCCGCCCCACGGGCGTGCCCTGGTGCCTGGTCGCCCCTGTTCACCCCTGTCCCACTCCCTGTGCTCCCCACGCGCAGGAAGCCTGTGGGCGAGTTTGTGCAGGAGATCAGGGGCCTCAAGGCGAGCGACCTGTCTGGCGCTGTGTCCAAGCTGCTCAAGTCGGCGCCCTCGATGGCCGTGCTGGGCGACATTGCACATGTGCCGCGCTACGACCAGGTCGCCAAGCGCTTCGCCTAGGCTTCGGATTCCCACCCAGGCCCACCCGACACACGCCCTCACTCCCTTAGCAGCCACACACCCGCGCCCCGGGAGCCGCCCCGCTCCGCAGCATGTCTTGTGCATGCAGCCTGACGGCTGCCGCACTGCCGGGTGTCGTGCCGCCGCGCGCACTCTTTCTGTTGCGAACTGCACCATTCCTGCCGCTCCCCTCTTTTGCTACCTTGCTGTTCCATGGAGGTTGACCTCTTGCTGCTATACAAATGAAGAGAAATGGTGCGAGTTGGGGAGCAGAGCTGGCGGGTGCGCAGAAGGAGCGAGCGTGCCGTGCACGGGGCACCGGCAAACAGATAGGGGCAGGTACAGGGCAGCCCGTACTGAGGCTGCCAGCAGTCAGGAGAGAGGGGCCTAGAAAATACAGAAGCTAGCAGGGCGAGAGGCAGGCGCCGGCATGGGCGCCCCCTGGTGTATCATGGGAGTGGTGGGTGTCAGGCAGGCGCCAGCAAGTGTTGTGTTCATTCTACTTCCTCCCCGTCCAGGGATAGTCAGACTCAGTAGTCGGAGTAATCCACCTGATGGATGTGGGGCGGCGGGGCGGGGCGAGGGTAAGAGGCGGGAAGCGCAAAACAATGGCGGTGTGGTTCATACCACAACTCCTGGCGTGCAAAGCCAGCCAGGTAATGCATGGGGGTCCACAAGACGCCGCCCCGCATTGCAGGGCCCACAGAAGTCGCTTGCCGACTTGGGGGCCCGCCCAAACCCCCACACCCAGCCCTCCAACACGCGCACACACACCTGGTCTCTGTCCATCATGCTCTTGGAGTGCCGCACAATGGCCCGCCCCACCGCATTGATCCAGTCCTCCTTCTCCTGCAGCACATCGGGGCGGGGGCAGTCATCACCGGCCATGCAGTGCCAAACACACAACTCATCCGCTGGTGAGGATGCCTCAAGCCTGCCCACCGCACAGGCCTGGCAAAGCCATGCAGCCACTGGCAGGCGGCTGCTCCTTGCGCCCCTGCGCCCCACCCTCTCGCACCTTGTCTGAATCGGCAATGAAGTACATGTTTTGGTCAGTGGTGCTGATCTCAAAGGCGTGCGGCTTGTTGATGGCGTCCTCGGCGCCTTTGATGGACAGGCACTTGTTCACCTCGATGATGCCGCGTGGCTGCGTGTTCTGCAGGCGGCGCAGACCGGGATGGATGCACGAGCATGAGCCTTGCAGCCACGCAGCAGGGCGCAGGGCAGGAATCGGCACAGGGCTGCAAACGGGGGGTTAGAGGGTGGCAGCGGCAGCCACGGCGTGGCAGCAAGGCAAGCGGCAGAGAGCGGCGCACCGGCCCCACTATGTCCGACTTGAACCAAAATATCTTGCCGTCTTTGAGAATGAACCACCTGCAGCAGGGGCAAGCACAAGCACGCTCAGCGCTGCCCGGCATAGGGCCAGCCGTGGGGCTGGGGACGCCTGGCCGCGTCTTGCCGCCGTCGGCGCCGCAGGGCTGCTCCGCCTGGCTGCCCGGGTTTACCTTCGCCGCCACGTCTTCATGAACTCCCCTGCACTTGCAGAGCGGCGGCGTGTCAATAAACACCGCCGCCATGTGCTGCAACCCGGCGATCAGCGTGCCCATACGCACCCTGCTTCATCAACCAGCCGCTGCGCTCTGCTTGCCGCCAAAACTCCACACCGCCGGTGTCCGAGTTGCGCCCGAGAACCCGGTTCAATAGCTGCGACGGCTCCATCCTAGCCTGGCTCCTCTGGGCGTGTGGGAAGAAGCGAAACAGGGCATCCGTAACTACGCGCTGCAGTTAGAAGAAACTGCCATGTCAGCGGGCGGAGGGGGCGGCGAGGCCCATTTGACACTGTGGAACTTGCTCGCGGCAGCCTTTTACATCATGCTGCAATGACCAACCAACTGGACCTCATTTCCATTTACACAGGCAGTGGTCAGGGCCAGCCTGGTCAGCGCAGCACAAGAGCCAGCAACAGCAAGTGCTTCTGCAGCTTTCGGCGCCGCCCACCGACACCAGCGCCGGCTGACAGGACGCTACTTTCATTGGCTTGAATTGCTGGCCACGGCTGTGCTCCATGCTCATGGCGGGATGCTGGGCATATCCGGTAGTTTCCTTCCACCGGCAGTGCCCGGCGAAGGCAGCCGTCGGTGGCGGCGGCGGCGAGGGGCTGCGCACAGACGGCACTTCCACACGTTGACGTGCGACTCCCAATCTGGAGTCGCTCCACCGTTTGGCGTGCTTTTGGGCTGCTGAACCTGCCCTAGCTGGAATCCCAGCCTCAGCCCCCTTCATTAGCAGGCCGGCAGCAACCTGAGCTCTGTCCAATGAATCAGGTCGAAGTGGGCAAAGTTGAGGAGGATGGCCCCCTCATCTTTCCAGGAACCTGCTTTCCAACAGCCAGGGCTTCAGTTTCAGCTGCCCTAGGCTTCCAAGGCTTCTCTGAGCTGCTCGCACGAGGCTGCTGGCCACCTCTACGTCAAACAACTGGGCAACTTTCTTCATACATTGGGTCCCATTCAGGCACACCTTGTTAGCCCCTGCATGAGTGAGCAGCAGCGGGCCTCCCGCGGCGCCCCCCAGCGCGTGAGCGGCGCGGAGATCAAGGCCACCAAAAGGTGGCTGCGGCCCAGCAGGCCGTCGACCGCACCTTCACCAGCACCCTGGCCAAGCTGGCCCTGGCTGGCGGGGCGGCCTATGTGCTTTGGCATTACATGTGGCAGAAGAGCGAGGAGCCGCTGCCAGAGCCAGCGAGCGAAGCTGTGAGTACGGATGTTCTCTGCTCCATGCTCCCGCTCCTGCCGCCTGGCTGGAGGAGTGAGTTGATTGACAAGCAGGGCCAACCTGGCACCCAACCTCCTGCCGCAGCTCAGCAAGCTGGTGAGCGCCGCAGGCGCCAAGGAGCAGCAGGCTGTGGAGCAGATCCGTGGCACCTACCCCGGCGCCGCCAACGACGCCACCAGCAAGAGCCAGCAGCAGAGGAAGTGACCGGCGCTTGTGCGGCAGGGAATGTTGTCTCCGTCTCCCTTGGGTGTCGGGAAGCGCTGCTTGCACTGGTTCAGCATGTGTGTGTGCGCCATCAGTGATGAAGAGAGCGACAAGCGACCAGGGGGAACAGGACTGCTGTCGATGCTCAGCACCCGAGGCTGCTACTCCTGCTGGTGCACATCCCCCTTGCCCTTGGTATATGGCGACAGCACCACCCGCATGACCAACTCCAGCGGCACCGCACCGGGGCTCAGCCGCACTGGCAGCACTGGCAGCGCCGCCTGCGCTACGTCTGCGGGCTGGATGCAGCGCTGGGGGTCGAGGTCCCCGCGGTGCAGCACAATGTCTGTGGCAACAAAGCCTGGCTCGATGACCATTGTGGTTATGCTGTGCGAGCTCAGCGCCTGCATTCCAAGGCAGTCGCATGACGGGGCCCCTGCATCCTGGCACCGGCGCGCCACCTGCTGGGGGCGCAGCGGGAAGGTCATAAGTTGCTGCGGCCAAAGGCAGCCAGCGTCGAGCGCCGCTGGGGGCCACCAACTGACCTCGATCACCAACTGACCTCGATCGAGCAGCTCGATGCTCGATCGAGCACCTCGATGCTCGCGAGCAGCTTCTCCTAGCTGCGGGCCGTTAGCACCAGGGCAGCCTGCTCTGCAGCGCAGCGCTCGGCGATGGCGGCTCCAATGCCGCGAGAGGCACCTGTTACCAGCACCACCTTGCCCTGCAGCAGGCCCGCTGTCGGCATGTTGGCCAAGGGAGAGAAGTGAACTGGATGTGTTTGCAATCCAGAGAAGCCCAGTCAGTCAGTCCGCCACGTCACCGTCCAATATTCTCTCTGGCACCTCCTCTCTCAATCCTCCGGCACTCCTTCGGCACTCCTTCTGCTGCCCAACCAGTCTTCCTCGCCACACACCATGACTAGCGGCTACTCGGGAGGATCGGTGAGAAAAACTCTGCCTTGGACGTCCCCTGGCTGCTGCTGAGGCAGAGGCAAAGCAGCGGCATCGCAAGACTGCTTGGCAGCTGGCGAGTCCAACAGTCTTGTGTGTGCTAGCGCTGCCGCCCCCCCGACCTGTGGAGCGGTGGCTGGCCGCTCATCTGCCCTGCGTGCAGAGCGCCAAGCCGGTGCCAGGCCAGGCAGAGGGCGCCGAGTATGGGCTGCCGCCCAGCCAGATCCGTGGTAAATGGTTGGCGCCGAGGGCGGTGCGGGGGCGCTTGTTGATTGACTCTAACCCTATCCCTGTGCCACATGCAGCCCGTGGCGGCCAAGTGACGGTCAAGGTGCCCGCCGAGATCGCCGACCGCTTCAACCGCGCAGTGGTGAGTGGTAAGGGTGTAGTGATGGTGGAGAGCTGGCGGAGAGGCAGGGTCTTGCTGGCCAGACCCGCAGCATGCGCGCTGGCTGAGATGGGCTCACGGTGTTCCTCTCTGGCTGGCTGCACAGAACAAGCATGCCGGGAGCGGGGAGGGCGTGGGCACCAACATTGACAGCGACACGCACAAGAGCGGCATGGAGCCGCTCACCGAGCGCGCCCGCAACCTGACAGAGGTGGCGCAGGTGCGGCGGGGTTGGGCATGGTCCCTGGATGAGTGCTGGAATGGCACGGTCAGCTTCATGCGACAAATCTGCGATAGCTCCAACCTGCTCAAGAATGTGGGCCCTCTGTGGCACGCCGCCCCTGGCCCTGCTGGGGTGTGTGCAGGAGAAGATGCGGACTGCAGGCACCGGAGAGACCCGCACCCCAGAGGTCGGCTTCCCCGCTAGGTGAGGCAGGCCACGAGCAGAACAGGAGGGCGCAGATGAGGGGGCATGACCGCTGCCCCGCTCGGCTGATAGAAAGGGCAGTCGCATTAGTGCTGACAGGGCTGCCCCCTGCTTGCTGGCTGCAGCGAGACTGCAGAGGACCGCGGGCCTAGGGGCCAGCCTCCCGGCCAGCTGTGAGCGGCTGCAGCCTGGCCCCGCAATCATGACCACATGCACGGTGCTGTGGAGCAGCTGCTGGTGGCTAGGATGCTGTACCTGGCACCAGCCCTGTGCATCATCTGCTTTGACATCAGACAGCGCCTCCCAAGTGCACCATTGCCTCTCACTCGTCATTGTCATCTGCTTTGCGGGATGCATCGTGTTGTTTGCATCGTTGGGCAAACCAGAGCTGGCGTGCAACACCTGCGACTACAAAAAAGTGAGAACCCAGGTATGATAGGGACCGGAAAGAATGGCACTCAGAGGGGGCGAAGCGGGCCTCAGAACTGAGAGCAAGGCAACAGATATCAAGGTTTATCGAAAAAACGATCCTGCGCTGCTGGCAGGTTGCAGTCACGTGGGCGAGGGATGCATTGTGGTTTCATTGGCCGGCGGTTCACGGCCTCTCCTCATACAAGGTCTTCTCAAGCTGATGCCAGCACAGGCATTCACTGGCGGTAGAGTGGCACGCTCTTGTTGAAGGCCTCCTTCTCTGCCTCGGGCACCTGCACGAGAAGGGCCAGCCAGAGATCATACCGCGCCCACCGAGCGATCTGCTTCTGGAATGCCCACCTCCCTCCTCCACAACAGCCACCGACCCACCTGCGGGCCGTCGGGGTTGGAGGGCGACGACGCCTTGAAGCGGCGCGATGAGCCGCAGTTGAGCGACTTGCGGGTGGACACGCCGGTCATGGGGTTGACGCCTGCGCGGCAGGAACACATGCGTTGAAGGCCAGGCAGCCAGGCTGGCGACAGGGAGGGAAGCAGGGGCCCCAGCGGCTGCCAGCGGCTGCCAGCAGCTCTGCGCACCATCCGCGTATTTGCAGAGCGCCATCTGCTGCGTCTTGTCGACCTGCATCACGAGTGAGAAGCGGCAGGGTGGGCGAGTGGGTGGGTGGCCGGCTGGCATGGACACATGCACGCCAGGCCGTGCCTGCTCCCGCCATGCGCGCCCCCGCAGGCGACCATGCAGCCCACCAGCGCATTTGTGAAGTCGGCGCCGTAGATGTCTGAGCGGTCCAGGTCGGAGCGGGTGAGGATGGCGCGCTGCAGCACCGCGCCCCTCAGGTTGGCATCCACGATCACAGCGCGGTCCATGAGCGCGTCTGAGAGGTCGGCGTTCTCCAGGTTGGCCCGAGCCAGGACCGACTTCATGAAGTATGCGGCCTGCAGCTTGCTGTTCTGGAAGTTGGCGTCGCGGCAGTCGGCGGCGGTGAAGTTGCTGCGCTGCAGGTCCTGGTTGCTGAAGTCCTGGCCCTTGACGTCTGCCTCGCCGTACTGGCGAGCTGCACACATGCAGACACAGGGAACCAGAGGGGTGGGGTGTCACGTGGGCTGATGGTGATCGCCTTCAGGAAAGGGTGGGCTTCACCCAATGACCAGCAGGCACTATCTGTACGTACCGGTGCCGACGTTGAACTCGCCCGTCACGCCAAACTCGCTGCATGGCCACACAGTGGAGGAAGGCAGGGGGAGTTCACCCCGTCCTGAGCAGGCTGCCGCAGCAAGGAGAGAGGGCTGTTGATGGCAAGCAATCAGCATGGCGTCCCAGCTTCAGTACTTACTACTTATTCAACTCGGCCGAGGCTGGCTGAGCCACGAGGAGGAGGGCAGCCGCCAGCGCACCAAACCCGGCGCCTGCCGGCCCCACACCCGCTGGCGCCCCCTGCTGCTGCCGCTGCTGCTGGGCGCTGCAGTGCACTGCCGCCGCCACACGCGCTCTGCGCCGGCATCCAGCCTCTGCACGCTGCTGCCTCCCCGCCTGCAGCTGGGGAGCGAGAGTTGCCCGGGCCGACATGGTGGAGGTGGGGAGGGGCTGGAACCTGGTGCAACTCAGGGGAAGTGTCGGTGTGGTATGGCACTACTCGGATCTCGTGCGATGGCGAGAAGAGGGACCTCGTATGTGGTGGAGTGTGGAGTGCCCGCCAGGCTGTCGTGCTCAGCCACCTGTGCATGCATGTTTGTTGATGCTTATAATTCCTTCAGAACTCTACAACGCTACAGCATAGATCGGTCTAGGCAGCGAAACAAACGTGCAAGCACCCCCCTTTCACCGCCCGGCCTATTTTGGCGGCGCCATGTCGGCGGCGGCAGCAGCAGTCGTGCAGGCCACCAGATTGAGCAGCGGGCGGGAAGCCTGCAGCTGCCGGTGCAGCACAGCATGCTGCCCGGCACCAGGTTTGCGCCGGGGAGGCGTGCCCAGGCTAGCAGCAGCGCAACGGCAGCAAGCTTACAACAGCAGCGCCAGCCGGGCAAAAGGCAGCAGCAGCAGCAGCCGCCGCCGCCGACCGCTGCCGCCACGAGCGGCGGCAGAGGCCGAGGCACCACAGCAGGCGGGTGCACTTGTCCCGGACCGGCAAGGCTACCGCTCCTTCCAGCTGGAGGGCGCCGAGTTCCTGATAGCGCAGACACCTGAGGGCAAGCTGGACCTGCGGGACGCTTACGTGGCGCCAGACGTCGAGGGCGACGACGACGACGGCGCCGAGCCCAGCTACCGCAGAGTGGAGGGCGCTGAGGGGATTGGCGGGCAGCCGCAGGCATACCACGAGGTGCCCTGGTACAGCGAGTACCCCGGGGATGCCATCGCGGAGAAGCCCGGCAGAGTGTGGGTGAGCGGGCAGCCTGGCGGCGCGGTGGCGCTGGCGGGCAGATGTGACGGCAGGGATGTGCAGGCACTGGGCTGCCTGTCCTTCAGTGGGCACCTCAGCTTGTTACGCACAATGCAACATGCAACAAGCTGGGGCATTGTCATGCGTTCTGGCTCCTTTGTAGCAAGCCTGACATGCCTTGCCCCCGCCTGCTTGCCCACTCCACCCACCAAGCACCCTCCACGTGTGCCACCCTCCCAGGTGTGGCGTGTCTATCTGGTGCCCGTGGTGGCAGACGACCCTGAGGGCGAGCTGGAGCTCAGCTTTGACAACATTTACGTGCTGGACGGCAAGGCCGCCAGCCTGCAGCTGTGCGAGGTGCACCGCCTCGCGCCGCCAGACACGCCGCCCCGCGACCTGCGCCTGCGCATCAGGTGCGGCTGCCAGCCCGCAGTGGCAGCCAGCTAACAGCCTGCCTCGCTGGGCGTGGGATGCCACTGCCGCTGCCGCTGCTGCTGCTGCTGCTGCTGCCGCCACTGGGGCCTAGGGTGCGCACCACCTGGTCGTGGCACCACCACCACCAACACCCACACAACGCTCCAAGCTACTCTGCTCCGCAGGGACGATGTGGTGACTGTGGACACGGTGCAGAGCATGCCAGACTGGGAGCACGCGGTGCAGGCGCGCATCAACGGCATCCCCGCGCTCAGCGTGCTGGAGCAGGAGCGCCTGCGCGCATACCTTGCGGCGCTGGAGGAGGCGCGCAAGATGGGGACCATCGACGAGACCGAGTTTGAGACGGTGTGTGTGTGTGTGTGTGTGTGGCTGGGAGGGCGAGGGTTAGCCAGACGTGCTGCTTGGCGGCATCTTCAAGCTGCTGCACAGGCTTATGCAGCCAAGCAGCCGCTATGCCCTGCTGTCCCCAGGCTGGCGCTGACTGCAATGCTGGTGATGACAGCTTGCCGCCTGATTTGCTGTCTGCAGGCATACGATGTGCACTGGCTGGCAGGGTTGCAGGCAGGCGGCGAGGGGGTGCAGGCGCTGGGCGGCAACTGGGACTCAAGCCAGGAGCTGAGGCAGGATGACGACTCGTTTGGGCCCAACGACCCGCAGGTGCGCTGTTGTGTTGGGGCGGGGAGGCAAGCATGCCCACTGCCTGCTTTCTCCAGCCTGCCGTGGATTCCTGCCTGACCGCCTTGATCAACCTGCTAGCGTGCATGTGTGGCAGCAGTTTGCATGAAATGCTGCCTAGCTCATTACCTGCCTGGGTTGGGTGTCTTGCTCTGCAGGAGGATGTCATGGGCGGATGGGCCCCGGAGATGTTTGAGGACCTCATGCCGCAGTATGACGATGAGTCGGATGAGGGGGACTTTGAGGAGTTCGACAGCCCCGCCGCAGACTACTGAGCAGCTTGACGGCCACGGCAGACGGCTACTGAAGCATGTGCCGCTGTGGGGTGCCGCTGAGCACACTTCCTGGACCCTAGCCAGCTGGTGCACATAATTGCAATCCATTTTTAGGAGCTCGTATGTTGCTGGTGCTCTCAGGAATGCCATGTAATCACGGCATGCAGTTGATGCTGAGGTTGACGCACACAGGAAGATGGATGGCTCGAGGTCCCACTGCCCCAACCTGGTGCAACCTGCTCGAGCTGTTTGATGCCAGTTAATTGCCATTTTCTGTTTAGATTCATCTGCCAGCTCCCTCTCCAGGCATTTCAGCTCAGAAAATGCAGCTTGTCGTCACAAGCGGTACGATCGCCGAGGTACAAGGAGGTGTAGCGCTCGGGATTGAGTTCTAAGACTCCCCGATGGGTGATCAATGCTTGGATGCTCTCTACGGATTGCCATTGGCCCGTTTGGCGTGCCCTCGTTTCTTGCCTTCAAACACTGCAACAACTGCACAACCACATTTCGCTGCCTGTGCATCAGTTGGTGCATCCCCAGCGATAGATCATTGACGGAAGCTCAGCGCCGCTGCTCTCAGGCGAAGTGCCGCAACCGCCCGCCTTGCGCCGCCCTTCACACGTGTGACCGTCCTGCCTGCCCTGCCCTGCCATGTGCATGCAGCAGCAGCAGCAGCAGGCTACAGCTACCTGTGCCATGGATGGTCTGCGGCAGTCACCCAACAGATGCCACAGCCTTTGCCCCACATCCCGGTGCAGGGTTCCTCTGCCAGCCAGGGCCGCCGCCGCATGACAGGACGCTGAGGCATGGCGTCCCGTGTGCACCGCAAGCGTCGGCCCTTGCTGCCTTCCGGCTCCCTCTTTCTGCTGGCGGCGGCGGTGTGGTATCTTGGCCACTCTTTCTGGCCGCACCGCACACCTGCCCGCCTTGATGCCTACACGCAGCTGAGCCTGCACGGGCGCGTGACCAAGCACGGGCCTGTGGTGGGCCTGGCGCAGCTGTCGGCGCTGTTCACGGGGATCGACAACCCCGACCCCAACATGGCCTCTGCCCTCTACTACCCAGGCGACTGGCGGCAGCAGCGGCTGGCGGGCAAGCGACCGCCGCCGCCTGGCCGGCTGTGCGCCATCATGTGGAATGATGCCCTCAAGGTGATCTCACCAGCCTCAGGCATCAGGTGCAGCCATCGTGTACCTTACCCAAGGCAGCAAGTCGCATGCCTTGCTGTGCTGCAGGTCATTTTTGTGAAGAATGTCAAGGCGGCGGGGTCCACGCTGGTCACCTACTTCAAGGACTGTGCAGTGATGGGACCAAACGACGGGCCCTTTGAGTGGCGCTGCCTGCGCACCCTCAACTTTGGAAACGTGGGTGGTGTGTGGGCTCACGCCACGACAGCGCTGCACCCTGTGGATGCTGTTGGCGGGCTGCTTCACACACATGCGGGCACGTACGCAGCATGCCTGGCGCGCAGATGGGATGCGCTCGCCGGCCCATCCATCCAACCAACCAGCCAGCCAGCCCATGATGGCCTGCTGTTCCCCTCCCTGTTGCCCCTGCCTGCAGGCCACGCAAGTGGAGCACCTCATGCGTGTGTGGGACGACTATTTCGTCTTCTCCTTTGGCAGGAACGTGCTGGTGCGCAGCCTGAGCCAGTTCCGCTACCTGGCCCATTTCATGCAGCCGTCGTGCACGCCCGCCTGGGACGACTACTGCCGAGACCCATATGTGCTGGTGGGCAGCGCCGCAACGCACGCTTGCCTCCGGTGTGCTGGCATTGTTGTTGGGCTGTGCGGATGGGGAGCTGCCTGCCTGCCAGCCCATCTTGATTCCTGCTTTCAGATGGTGTCTGAAGATGAGCAGGTGCCCAGCCCAATGCTTGCCCCTCCTCTGAACTCCCCGCCATGCAGGGCGACATTTGCGAGGTGCACGCCCAAAACGGCTCCTCCTGCTGCGACCCGCTGGCAACATCTGTGCACCAGTACCTGCACGCCATGCCCCAGGCGCCCTGCATGGTGACGGAGGCAGGGCAGCCGGCAGTGGACTTTATTGGGCGGGTGGAGTCGTTTACTGAAGACTTTGCCGAGCTTCTGAAGCAGCTGAATGCACGGCCGGGTGCTGTGCACCTGCCACCGCCGGGTGAAGAGATGGCGACCATCAACATCAACAACAAATGCCAGCAGGGCAGCAGCAGCAGCAAGGGCAAGGGCAGGAAAGACAAGGGCGGCGGCGGCAGGGCCGGCAAGGCCAGGGGCCGCCGGCCGCTGCACGAGCTGCCCGCCTCCGACCCCTGCAACCAGATGGAGTTCTATTCCAACGAGCATGCCCACTGCTACCAGCACATACTGAGCTTTTACGACGAGGATGTGCGGCTGCTGATGTTGTGAGCAGCAGGCATGTAAACATCTGGTTAGAGGGGCAGTCTGTAAAAGCGGGCTTTCGCACGACAGCAGGGAGTGACGTGGCATAGGGGGACAGAAAGGCTTTCATGACCAAGACACAAATCACGCGCATGTTCTTCAGAAGGGTCTGCTTTGTTTTCGCTGTAGCGAGCAGAAATGAACCAGGAAAGGCGGTAATCAATAAATGAAGCATCATCCTGTAATCGGCAGGGGGTATAGTGGGGCAAGGCCGGGGGATAAAAGGGGCAAAGGCAGGGGGATAGCGAAGCAAAAGTCGCATTCTGTGTTGACTGCTGTGCATGACAAACAGATGGGTGGATGTTGATGCTTGCTGGAGGTGTGAGCCCACTCAGCAGGCGACTGCAACGCTTTGCAGCGCTGCACCGGGAGGTCGCGGTGTCGCCTCTGGCACCATCATTGCCCCGCATGCGGGCAGGAGGTGTGTCTTCATGGGGTGGCACCTAGCCGTACTTGGTCCAGCCGGGGGCACCACGTGGGATGATCTCCGGCACCTGGGACGGCAAGCGGTGGGAGGCTGCGTCAGTTGTGCCCCGGGCGGTGCCTGCTGGCCTCCCCCAGGTGCTGGCCTCCTCCCCGCTGCGGAATCGCTTCCATTCAGTGCCTCCACGCCTCAGCAGCGCGGTCCAGCACATTGCACGAGGGGTATGTCTGTTTGCGGTGCTCACCTGCTGGACCAGGCGCTCCCAGACAGGCGCCTCCACGCCCAGGGCAATGTAGCGGCCGATCAGCTGGGCGCGCTCGGGCAGCGCCCAGGTGGCCCAGCAGCGCACAAACTGCGGAGGGCAGGGCGCGGCGGCGCCGGAGGTGTGTGATGTGGGGGATGGCGTGAAGGGGCGCGGGTGAAGGGGCGCGGGTGATGGGGCGCAGGGCATGGCGCTGCTGCAGCCAGGCCTGGGCAGCCAGCAGCCAAGGACGGCGCCTCACCTTGACGCGCTGGCCGTGCATGGGCAGGTTGGCAACCACGAAAGGCAGGAACTCGGACCACACCTCGGGCTGCACAGCAGCAGGAGGCAGCAGAGGGATCGCCAGCAGCAGCAGGGCCAGACAGGGCGGGGTGCAGGGCGGCGGCAGGCAGACCCAGCGGCACGCGGCAGTGCCGCACCGGCGTGGCCTCCCAGATGCGCCTCAGCATGGCCTTCTGCAGGTCAATGTTCATCTGCTTGCGCCCGGCACGCTGCACTCGACACGGACGTGGCGTGTGTGCGGTGGAAGAAGCGTGCGTGTCAGCATGGGTATGACGAGGCATGTGCATAGGGACGGCGCAGGCATTGCCTTTAACCCCCATGCGATGCACCGCCTTCTGCCCTGCCCCGCCCCGCCCTCCCACCTGCAGGTGCGCCTCCTCTCCCTGCAGGTGCTCCTCAAACTGGTCCACAAAGGCGGGGATCTCGGCGCGCAGCGCGCCCAGCGCCTGGGCCGCCTCCTTGGCGCCCGTGTCGCCGCCCTGGGCGCCCGCCTCGGCCGCCTCCAGCAGCGCCGCCCAGCGCTCCATCACTCCCTCATCCCGCACATGCTCCTTGTGCTGGCGGGAGCACAGGCCAGGCACGTAGGTCTCAAACTCCCTACAGGGTAGCAGCAGGCGGGGCAACGGGGGGTGCGGCGGATGACGTGGCAGGACCAAGGCTGTGGGAGACAACCTCCTGCCACCAAGCGCTCAGTACAGGAAGGTTGGCGCCGGCCCCTCTGGCAGCGCCGGGCCCTGCTCCCCGGCACCTGCTTGCCTGAAGAAGACGGTTTTCCCCCTGTGCGCATTGCCGGGGTGGGGCCAGGCGGTAGCGCCTGAACTGCAGTGCAAAGGCGGCCAGGGCGGGGCCGCCGACCGCGCCCGTTTTGGGGGACGGCTCCAGCGCCGCCGCCGCCACCTTGAGGCGCTCTCCGGCGGAGCGGAAGGCCTCGTGTGTGAGGATCTGCTGGGACAGAGGGCCGTACTTGGGATCCTGCGGGGCAGAGGGGCGGCAATTGGTGGGGTGGTTGGCTGGTTCTGGGAGGGTGCCCTGGCGGTGTGGGAATGGCGGTGGGCAGAGGGTGCCGGCAGCAGCAAGGGCAGGCTGGCCACACGCGGCACCCCGCCCCAGCCTGCCCCCTCCCGCTCACCATCACAAAGATGCCCCCCATGAGCAGCGACTGCACCGTGTGCAGCGCCAGCACCAGGGTGGCCACCGACGCCACCGCCAGCCCGGCGTAGGCCATGCCTGTGGTGAGGGAGCCCGGCACAGCGGCCGCGTAGAGCAGGGTGGCAATGGCCAGTGCCTCCAGCGGGAAGGCCAGGGCCCAGGAGGAGGCGTCGAAGCGCAGGCGGCTGGTGTGGCCGGTGAGGTAGAGGGCCGCCAGCACCAGGGCCAGCGCCAGGGCAGCCAGGTAGAGCAGGCGGGAGACAAAGTCAAACGGCATCACTGAGCTGCCCAGCGCCACGGGGCCTGCGGGGGGCGGGGTGTGACGTGCATGCAGGGGGCGAGGTGGGGCAAGCATGCGAGGCACGGGCCAAAGAGAACTGCAGCAGCGACAGCATGCGGACGGGGTGGCCGCGCAGCAGGGCAGCTGCTGCAGCGCCGGCCCGCAAACTTCCATTGCCTGCGCGGCCCGCCCCTGCCCCTGCCTGTGCAGCACAGCCCCGTGCGCCGCCGCCGCTCACCCGTAGGCCCAGTGGCGGCCGCCAGCACCACCTGCGCGGCGCAGGCCACGGCCCAGGCGCTGACCCAGGTCCACTTGAGGGGGCGGTTGCGGTCGTCGGGCTCTTGGAACAGCACCGCGCGCTGGAAGGTGATGACGTAGGTGGGCAGGGCCAGGGCCACGGCGGCGGCAAACCAGAGGTAGGCAGCTTCCGTGTAGCGAGGATCCAGGAAAGGCGCCACCAGGGCGCACACAAAGCAGGCGGTGGGCGGCAGCAGCCAGGCCGGGTTGATGTGCTCGGAGGAGCGGGGCTCGGTGATCCAGCGGGCGGCCGCCAGGTAGAGCGCCAGCGCCAGCGTGGCGGGCGCCCCAATCCAGAACAACACCTTGGCCAGCGTGGTGGCGCCGTCGAAGCGGCCCGCGGTGGCAAAGGCGATGAGCACGAGGGAGGCCGGCGGGATGACAAAGGTGTTGCAGCGCAGCGGGCACATCCACTCTTTGGCCACCTTGCGAGGGAACTTGAGCGCCTTGGCGGCGTACCTGCAGGAGCAGGAGGGGGGAAGCCAGGCCAGGGCAAGCCAGAGGTGGGCACAGGGATGGGGCGAAGGAGGGCAAAGGAGGTTGGGGGCGGGGCGTTTAGGCAGGGTCGCCCATCAGGGAGGGAGTGTTTGCTGGATGCTCACGAGCGGCACAGCGGCAGCTGCCGGGCAGCTGCCCACCAAGCCAGCGCATGGCATGCGCGTATACCCATCGCCGCAGCGCCACTCACAGCAGGCCCACGACGCCGTACAGCACCACCGTGAAGATGGTGAGCACGTCTCCGGTGGCGTTGGGGATGGAGAGGCCCGCGGCGCCGCCGATGGACGGCAGCGCGGCGGCGCGCCACAGCACGGCCAGCCCCGCCAAGCCCAGCACGATTGTGAAGTGCATCGCCTTGACGTGCTGCAGGGGCGGCAGGCGGGATGCAGGGGCAGGGGAGGGAAGCGCGGTGGCTTGACTGAAAGAGCCACAGGAAGGGGATGGGTGGCAGGAACTGGTGCGCTGGTGCGCAGCACCACGCGTTGGCGGTGGCACGCGATGCGCTTGCCTTGATCACGTTCCAGCTCTGCCTGTCGTGATCGTTCAGCTTCTGCTTGTACTTGACGTCAATGGCAGAGCTGGGCTTGCCAGGGTAGCCCAGTCGGTGCTGCTGAGGGGGAGGTGGGCGGCAACCCAGGGGAAGGCTAGGGAGGCGGTTGAAGTGGGCACGCAGCAGCCTGCCCAGTCTGCTCAGCGCCACGCCCCTTTGCGGCCCACAGGTGCGCGCGGTGGGCGGCAGCGCAGAGCAGGAGTCTGCCCATAAAACACGGGAGCAGGACTTCAGGCATGCAGCTGGCTGCTCGGCTCTGCAGCCTGGCGAGCGCCCTGCCCCCTCCCCAACCCACCGCCTGCGGCTCTGGCAGCTCCACCCGCTTCACCGCCTCCTCATACGTGTACTCCGCCTCTGGCTTGGTGGTGATGCCAATAGTGTACACCTGGGCAGGGGCGGAGGAGGGGAGATGGGGAGACCGGCATCGGGTCGGGTGGCAGCAGGGCAGGCAACCACAGCACCAGCCCACAGATTGTTTCAAAGAGAATCATAAAGAGAATGTTATTTAACCTCACCTCGCGCGGCAGCAAGCCGAACTTGACGGCCCAGCCAAACATGACGCAGCCCATGCAGAAGTCGATGGAGCATTCCAGGAAGGCCAGCGCCGCATACACGCCCAGGAAGCACGAGGCGATGATCTCCTCGGGGTCGTACCCGCCCGTGAAGAACAGCACGGTGGCCACCGTGGCCTGCGTGCAGGGGTTGGGGCACAGGGCAGGCGCGGCGCGGCCAGGCCAGGGAGCGAGCTCAGGGCGCATGTGTGGGCCAGAGGAGCAGCAGAGGTCGCACGCCCTCCCTGCAGCTCACCATGAACGTGCCGCAGGCGGCGGCAAACTGCTTGGGCACGCCGGGGCGGAACTTGGGCTTGAAGGGGGCGGCGGCGCAGCGCGCCAGCTGCGCCAGCGGCGAGGGCCCCGCGCCAAACAGCACGCGCGCCAGGCCATCCAGCGCTAGGCCCAGCATTGCATAGTGCGCCCAGGTGTGGGTCCTCCAGATGATGCAAATGACGCAGACGGCGACCACCTGAGGGCAGCAGCCGCGCGTGGGAGCCAAGGAGCGGCATGCTGGCATGCGGCGGGCAGCGGGGCAGCTCCTGCTGCTGCTCATGCGCTCCCCCAGGCCACACAAACGCACAGAACCACGCACACCTGCGCCGCGGTGAGGCGGATGACGTTTGAGTCCACCACCTCTGGGAACCAAAAGGCACAGGGGTAGGCTGGGGGCGTGCCATCGCCCAGGGCCGGCTTCAGCGCGGCATCCTGGAAAGTCTCGTCGGGCATGATGGCCGCGTGGTGGTGCGCATCCTCTCCGGTGCTGTGTGCCGGGCTGTCGGGGTTGGCGGAGTCAACGGTGGGCGCGCCGTCCTTCTTGCGCGGCGGCGGGGCGGCGCTGGGCAGGCCATGGGCGGCGGCCGCCGCATGCACCTTGCTGGCGAGGGCGCCGGTGGTCTGCAGGTGGTGCGGGTGGGAGTGTGGATCAGGTGGGAGGGTGGGGGCTCGGCAGCACCATGTTGCCAAGCTACCCTGCCACTGGGCTGTGATAGCAGCAGGGCGGCGATGATCATCAGCCCCTCACCTCCAGCCTCTTGATGTCGTCGCAGCCACCCAGGAACTCGCCGTTCACAAACACATATGGTACCGTCTTCTGCCCCGTCTCCGCCTTGAGCGCATCCCAAGCGGCGCCGCCCTGAGGCAGCTTGTCGTACCACACGACGCTGACGGGGCTGTTCGCCAGGCCGGCCGCAGCAGACTCCAGCGTGCTCTGCGCCTCGATGCAGTAGGGGCAGGTGGAGCGGCCAAACAGTGCGATGGGCAGCCCCTTGAGCGTCTCGGCGACCCTGGCAGTGCCGCCCTCTGCACCGGGCACGCATGCGAGCACAGCAAGCAGCGGCGGGGGGCGAGGTGAGTGTCTGCGGGCAGCCATCACACGCGTCACGAACTCTGAAGTCTCACAGCCACAAAAACTGTTCTCGGCTTGGGGGCCGCAAGGTACCGGTGGGCGGCAGCCACCGGCCGACCCACGGTGGTCAGCCCCTGATGTCGGCCCGCACACTGCGGCCTCAGAGGCTTTCAAGAAAGGTGTGTGAGGCCAGCAAACACGCTGTAGTGTCCCGCAACGATCTCTCGAGAGGCGGAAGAGATCAATTTGTACACACGCTGCAGGCGCTGGCGAGGCGACGCCCAATCCCGGCGCCCCTAGAACAGAGCCGTGAATGGCAGCAACTGGAAACCTGCAAGCCCGCTACCTGTCATGGCTTGGGCCAGGTCCACTTGACCTCCTTCTACGTCCGTCATGCTGCCTCCCCTGACTTGCGCGATGGATGCAAAGAGGCTGAACAGGCAAACGGGCTGCTCCAGACGGGGATATCGTCATGATTCTTCCAGCCGTACCGGCCGGGCGCGGAAGCAAGAGCTGCAATGCAATTATGTCTAAGGATCTTGTTGCTGCCAATCGTGTTATGTGACCACCATGATGAGTGGCCGTTGGGGAGGACGTGCCTGCACCAGCTGCCGCCGCGGCTACCGGCGGCGGGCCAGGGGCAGGCACCACCTGACAATGGGCGGCCCTGGCAAGGGCCGCCCAGCTGCTCCTTGCACTCTATTTTACAGGGGGAGAGCCGTCCTTGAGGTGCTCCTTGACGTGCTCCTTGAGCTCTATCCATCTGCTGAAGTAGTCGGTGGCTCGCAGCTGTTGCTGCCACAACATCTGACCGACAAAGTCCTGCTGCCGCAAGACCTCCAGCTGCTCCGCCGTCGCTGCAACCGCCTCCAACACCCGCCCCAAATTGCGATCTCTATCGTACAGCATCTGCAGCAGCTCGAAACCACGCTGCTGGCATACCTGCCACAGGCGCTGGTCTGAATACAGCAGCGCTGCTGCTGTGGCAATGCCGCCAGCTGAGGTGGCGCCGCACAGGCCACCCCACTCCCCCTCCCGGCCGGCCGCTGCTGCCGCCTCTCCGCAGCCGTCGCCTCCCAGCTGCCAGACATAGCCCTCGGCTGCTTCATCAGGCACTACTACTTCTTCAGCTGCTGCGACAGCCGGTGCTGCAGCTGCGCCTGTCATGCCTTCGGCGCCAATGGGGGTTGTGGCGACGGGCAGGCCATGCCACCAGCTGTCCACCACCTGCGGCCAGGCCGGGCAGGGAGTGGGTGGCCATGGCAGGGTTGTTCATGCAGGCGGGGATCCTGCACGGCACCACCAAGCTGCGGAAATCCCTGAACGAGCGCACCGCGGGTGCCACCCACCTTGCCCTTGAGCCCTGCTCCGTACCGTAGTGGCGCCAGCAGTACACGGTACCTGAGCATGATGTCCAGGCTGGGGGCAAACCCCTTCATGTGGACGCCCTCCTTCTGCGGCAGCAGCAGCAGCATTGATAACTTTGGGTGCAGCGATGCATGCGATGCATGCACACAGCACCCCACACACACAACACACACTGGCACTCACCGGACGGTGCAGCTGCTGTGCGGCCCCTGCTGCATAGGATCCATACATGTGCAGCTGCGCATCGCGGTGCTCCGATGGCAGTGCTGCCCGCAGCGCCGGCCAGATTTCAGAGCATGCCCAGCGAGCAGAGTCCAGGTTGGGAGGGTGCCGCCAGTTGCCGATCATGAGAAAGTGCTTGCGCTCTGCGTGGCTGGGGCATGCCTGGTCGGGGCCGGCTGCTCCGGCCACCGAAGTGTGAGGCGAGGGCGGCGCGAAGAAAGGCGCCAGAACGACCTTGCTGGCGGGAACGCCGTAGTGGCCGATGAGCAGCTGGAGCTCGACAGGCGAGCACACCAGCACCAGGTCAGACCTGCGCAGGCGAGAACAGTGCGGGCCAAACATGAACACTGTGAGTGCAAGCTTCCCCCTGTGCGGTGCGGTGTGCAGGGAACCAACCACCAAGCACACATGCATCAGCATGGGCAAACAAACGCACCGGTGGATGGCGGCCAGCTCGCGCAGGCAGTCTGGGGCCACGGCATCGGGCCGACACGCCTGCACCGCCTCCATCGCCGCCCCCGCCTCTGCCAGCCGCTGCCGGCCGCCGCGCAGCGCATGGAAATCCTGCATGTCTAACAGCCGCATCGCCCCTGGCGCCAGCTCACGTGTTCGGAACGAGTACGCCTCCTCGGAGTAGAAGCGGTCAAACACCACTGCCGTGGGCTGCACTGCTGCCAGAATGTCTGCCAGCTGGCTCTCACGGTTGGGCTGGCACTGGAAGGCGGCCACCCCCGCCGCCTGCAGCGCTGCCGTGTGCTCGTTGGGCGTGGAGGATGAGGCGTATGCCGCCCGCCAGCCGCGCCGGCAAAAGGCCTCCAGCAGGTCGCTGGTGCGCACGCCCGCGGCGCTGGATGTGCGCTCCGGCCACACGGGGCTCAGGAAGAGGACCGTGCCTCCGCTGCCGCTGGTCGGGTCTGCCGCCGCCTGAGCGCTGCCGCCGCCGCCTGCGTGCCGCCGCTGGTGATGGCGGTGGCCCCGCAATCGAGACGGCGCCTGACGGATCAATTCTGGGCACGTGGGGCTTGCGTGCATCGTCGCTGGCTGCAACAGAAGGTGGCAGCCAGCGGCAGAAACCATTAGGCAGGCGTGTCGGCATGCCATCGGCGCATAGTGCTACGATCCTATGCCTTGCACGCAAAGACCAGGCAAAGGGTGGGCAGTCCCCCCATGGCGCGCGCCTGTGCCAGCTGTGCGCTTATTTCAGCACCTCTGCCACGTGCACCCTTGCCCACCTTAGGGCCTGGACGCCCTCATGCGTGCATGCCCGCCAGCCGCTCGATTCACCCATTTTTGTACACTCATTGGGCTCTTGAAAAGCGGGCCAACACGCCCTACAAGTGTGCAGCGAGCTCCCACCACCTGTCAGTGGGCGCAAAACCGCCTGAAAACCAACTTCACTCGCGGGCCACGTGCCTTGATCGCATTGAAATAGTGTTAGAAAAGGTTTGGACGCGCGGGCGGACCGGGAAACGCCTCCCTGCAGCTTGGCATTTTTGAATGGCGCCCTGCAGCTGGCGCCCACAGACTCTTGACTACCCCCTCTTCAGAATGCTCTCCTCAAGCTAGTGGTTACAATCATGCTCACAAATCATTTAGCACTCTTGTCACCGACAGGGCCGGCCACCGCCCTCCCCGGTCCAGCACTTAGGCAACGTGAGCAGCTGCCGGTGCCGGCGCCGTTGCTGCATGTTGCTGCTGCAGCCCAGCTCCACCCATCAGTCTTCTTCTGCTTCACTCCACTGCAGGCAGGCAGCTTTCCCTGAATAGCCGGGTTGCACAGGAGCAGGGCGCAGCCCCCGGCTTGGCTTCACGTGCGAGCCGCTGCCCCGCCCTCGTCTGGTTCCCATACGACAGCCCTCCCCACTCACATTTGTCCCACGCCTTCTGTTCTGTCTGCAGTGCAACAGGGCGGTTATCGCGTAGGCGCCTCTGTCTACGACATGACCCATCGGACCTCACGTGGTTACGGCACAATCAGCAGGCGTGGGGAGCCTTGTGACGATGGCACACCGCGGTGGCATGTGCATTGGGAGCACCCACGCGAAGGACAACGCGACAAAGCCATAGCTGAGACGTACCTGGAGCTGCCGCTCGTGCACCACAAGGAGCGCGTCCCGCCAGCTGGACTAGGTCAGCGGATCCAGGTGGTGCTGGGCACACACAGGCCTGCACTGGGCACAATCGTTGCAAAGGTAGGCTCATGCGCGCTGCTGCGCTCAGCCATTGCCCCTACGCCTTGGCCAGCAATGCAGCTGGCATCCCCTCCTGCGCACCAGCTCCTGCTGCGTCATGCCAACCAGCTGCTGCCCCCTCACCTGCTACCCAGAGCGGCGATGGGTGGACGTGCGAGCTGGAGGGCCAGAAGATCCGTCACAACTTCAAAGGCGCCTACCTGCATGCAATGGGGCAGCCAGCTGATGGGAAGACGCTGCAGCTGTCAGAGGCGGTGGAGCTTGTTACCGGCCTGCCCCTGAAAGAGGTGTATGACTGGCTGTCTGATCACCAGCTCAACCAGGCCGCACCTGTGGATCTGCGCCTAGTGAAGCCCGACTCGGCGCTGCTGGAAGAGGTGTTCCTCGGCACGCGTCCTGTGCAAGGGCTTGCTGATGCTGAGGTGCGGGCTCTACACTATGCAGTTCCAGGTGCGCCTCCTTGTCCAGGGCTGTGGGGGCCGGAGGACAACAAGCTGTACCAGTGTCTCTTGCTCTCCCCGCCATGCCCCAGCCCAAACATACCGCCACTTTCCATACCTGGATGCAGCCCTCGAAGTTGCTGGGCAGCCCGGTGCTGGTGTGTCAACGGCAACGGCTGATGATGTTGGCACCATCCGGAGCGGCCTGCAGAAGAAAGCGGCGGGCAAGTGGACGCTCAAGTATGTCTGCTCCCATGCATCCAAGTGCAGCTGCCCGTACACGCTGGAGTTGCGGCATCCGGCTGGCAGCGAGGTGGTGAGCGTGTGGCAAACAGCGCCCCACCAGTTCCATGACCCCACCAGCGCCGACAGCCAGGCCCAGCTCCGCATGCACCCCCGCCTGGAGGCGATGGCCACCGTGATGATCGAGAGTGGCGCCACGCCCACGTCCATCTGCACACGGCTGAACAACATGGTGCATGATCCGGCCGACCCGCTGGGCCTCGGGGGCGGGACTACTGGGCTGCAGCACTTCAGCAGCGCCCGTGTTAGCATCATCCCGCGGCAGATCTATGTGCTGATAAAGAAGCTGCGGCGTGCTGAAGGCTTGGGCCTCACCAGCGACGTGCAGGCGATGGCGGCTCTGATTGATGAGCTGAGAAGGGAGGGCTCTGTGCTGTTCTACCAGCCCTACAAACAGGCTGGCAGGCGCAGCGGGGAGCAGCCGCTGGTGATTGTGATGCAAGTGTCCTTCCAGGCGCGCATGCTGGACCAGTTTGGGCGGCGGCTGGTGTTCATGGACGCCACGTTTGGCGTCAACAAATACGGCTACCCACTCTACGCGTTGGTGGTGAGCCTGCAGCCTAGCAGCCTAGCAGCCAGGCTGGGTTGTGTATGCAGCCACACCGGCGCGCACCAGGGCTGTAGCACCCTCACCTGATCCTGGTACTTGCAGGTGCAAGATGAGAGCGGGCGCGGGGTGCCGGTCAGCTTCATGGTGTGCAGCTCGGATACGGCGGAGGTGGTGGAGCACTTCCTGCGCACATCGATGGAAGGGGTGAGTGCCAGAGGATAGAGGGATGCGCTGGGCAGGCACCAGTCCGCTGCCAGCCCCGCTGCCTGCCCTGCTGCTGCCTCATGCTGTCACCCCCGCCTCCCAAACCACCAATGAGCAGGCACAGGCGGCAGGGGATGGCACCTTCAAGTACAAGTCCATCATGATCGACAAGTCGAAGACGGAGATTGCAGCGGTGGACCAGCTGGTGTCCACCGGGCATGCCGAAGGATACCTGCTCTGCTACTTCCACTTCCTGCAAGATTGGGAACGCTTCCTCAGCAGCGGCGACGCGGGTGTGCCTAAGGCTGAGCGGCACCGCATCATGCTGGCGCTGGCTCGCCTAGCCCACATGCAAGACCAAGCGCCGTTCAAACAAGAGGTGGGCAGCAACGCAGCGCATGGCCAGCAATCTACAACTGCTCGCCCACGCACTACTTGCATGCGCCACTGCCCTGCGCCCTGCAGCTGGCCTTCTTCATCTTGAGCAACAGCCAGCAGCACCTCCCGGTGGCGCAGCGCATGCACAGCAGCTGGGTGCCGTGCGCCGAGAAGTGGGCGTGGTGGGGGCGGCTGGACGTGCTGGACCTGCAGTGCAACACAAACAACCTCGGGGAGCGCAATTTTGGCCTCATCAAGTACACCGACCTGGAGCGCAGGGCGCAGCTGACGCTGCACGAGCTGCTGCTGGCGCTGCTGACAAAGACAGTGCCCCGCAACATCCAGAACCGCGCCCACATGCTGGCGGGGCGGGTGACCAGCGACCAGCAGCAGCGCGAGCAAAGGGCAGCACTGTGGGTGCAAAAGCTGGTGGAACGCGGTGCGGTGGTGCCAGCAGCGGATAGCAGCACCCCAGGGCTCACGCTGGTGCAGCAAGGAGAAGATGCGCCGCCCGTCACTCGTGTGTGGGC